AAAAATGATTGTGGAACAAATATGTGTATCATGTGTATTATTTGATTGTTGTAATTATTGTGATTTGTATTGATTATGTGATACCCTGCATCAATTCAGCCGTATACAGGCTGCGACTGCACGGGTACTGTTTGGACAATAAAAACCATTTATTATTATTATTAAAGTTTTAACTTCAAACATGTAGCTACCAACACAGTCAGGTTAACTTTCATGATTGATTAACAAGGACCTGGACCAGACCCCCATCACCATGGTAACTGGTGCTGTAGCAGACACCCTGTGGTGTTGGGTTACATTATGTAGCAAGAATTGGAGGGGCTGGTCAGCATTTAGTACTTTATTTAGTACTTTAATGTATTTGAGTAAGAATCATTAACAGATCAGTAATTTGTTAGGCTGGACCATGAAAAGGTAAACATAAATGTATTTGTAAATTTTACCTTTGTAGTTACATAGCTGTTTCTTACATATTTTCTATGACAAAACTACTAACTCGTGTCGCCCTTCAGATGCCGGTGCCGCTGCAACTTTAGCGGCTGACTTACAGTTGCAGGAGCCTGACCAGGTGGTCGGCGTGGAGGGGACGAGTGTGCTGTTGGAAGGCTTTGCTTACGGAAAGTAAGAAGACGTTTTTCTTTATTGAGTAACATAGAAACTTACAGGATCTAGGACACGATAGTGGGCAACTCTAGCAAGTTACTGATCTTAGCCCCACCACTGACAAAGACGAGTACATACAATGTTTAATAATAATAATAATAATAATAACAAAACAAGAACAAGTAACAAAACAGCAAATTCGCGATATAAACGATAACATGTAAAAAAGGATCATAATGCAAGAATGGTTTTCCGTAAGCAGGCAAAGAAGTCGTTTGCATTGACGATTTTTGTACCTTAATAACTTGTGTGTATTGATTATCATTCTTCTATAGCAATATTTTTTTTCAATCAATAAATGACGACCTTATTATTTTTTTTTCAATCAATAAAAGACGACCTTAATTGCACATTTTCGCCACACTTGGCTAAGTACTAGGTCACAACACACCCGAGTCGTTCTTACGCACACAACCAACAATGATCTGTGGAGATAAAGTTAAAAGGCATGTGAATATTTAGATGAAGTATGCATGTACTATTGTTACAAACGTAAACAGGTTTCGTTGAAGAGGTTCATCAGTCACGTAAGATTTCAAACAGTTAGTAGAATATTCATCAATCAGTACTGTTTTGAAAAGTAGCAAACACGTGCCTCCAAAGTTTCGACATCCACTGTACGTCTTGATCATGGAGTGACTCGCGAGAACTCGAGGCTAGGTTGAGACTTGTGTAGATCTTCTGGCCTCCCCCGCCTCCTTATGTCGAAAATTTGGAGGTACATATGTACGTGTGTGCTACGTATACCTTTCAAAACAGTCACTGATTGATGAACATTCTACTAACTGTAAACAGGTTAACATAAAATTTGTGTTGGAATAAGATTCAAAATTTTCTATGTAAACAGGTCTTTAAAGAAAATACTTAAAACCTTTTTCTTTCATCGTGCAGCCCAACTCCTGACTTGGCTTGGACCAGATCGGACGTTGACGGCAACCCGCTGCCCATCCCGGCTAAAGCCACGTACGAGCAGTGGAACCGCTTCATCAACATCAGCAACGTGCAGCGGGAGGACGGCGGCTACTACACGGTAACGGCAACCAACACGGCCGGGCCGCCCGACTCCAAGAGAACCCTGCTCGTTGTGGCAGGTTAGACAGATCATACAGTACATGTTTGTTTGTTTGTTTGTTTATTGGCTACTACACGGTAACGGCGACCAACACGGCCGGGCCGCCCGACTCCAAGAGAACCCTGCTCGTCGTAGCAGGTCAGACCGATCGTACAGTACATATTTGTTTGTTTGTTTGTTTGTTTGTTTATTGGCTACTACACGGTAACAGCCACCAACACGGCCGGGCCGCCCGACTCCAAGAGAACCCTGCTCATTGTGGCAGGTCAGACCGATCGTACAGTACACGTTTGTTTGTTTGTTTGTTTGTTTGTTTGTTTGCTACTACACGGTTAACGGCCGCCAACACGGCCGGGCCGCCCGACTCCAAGAGAACCCTGCTCATTGTGGCAGGTCAGACCGATCGTACAGTACACGTTTGTTTGTTTGTTTGTTTGTTTGTTTATTGGCTACTACACGGTAAC